AACAAGTTGTATTTTATTATTTTCGCAAACTATTCCTAAATCAAAGGTTTATCAATTACAGAGGGAATATGGTTATTTTTATAGAAATCTATAGTTTGTTTTGCCATAGTTGCAATTTTTTCTGGCACAAAGCCGTATTTTTTGAAAACTTCTTTATAAGGCCCAGAAGAGCCAAATGATTTCATACCAAAATTTACATGAGCATATTTGGTCCAACCAAATGTAGAAAGTGCCCCAACACTTAATATAGGAATACCATCAGGTAGAACTGACCATTGGTATTCCTTAGTTTGTTCTTCAAATAATTCAAACGATGGTAAAGATACAATACGAGTATTGATTTGATCTTTTTCTAGTAATTTGGCTGTGTCAACGATAAGTGATACTTCTGATCCCGTTGCAACTAAAGTGATTTGCGCATTGTCACATTCTTTCAAGACATATCCGCCTTTAAGAACTTTTTCAACTGAAGTATCTTCCAATTGAGGAATACTGTGACGAGAAAGAACTAGTACTGATGGACAATTTGATCTTTGTATTGCAGCTAAATAAGCACCTGAAACTTCATTACCATCTGCAGGGCGTATTATTAATATATTTGGTAATGCACGAAGGCTAGCCAAAGTTTCAATTGGTTGGTGAGTAGGACCATCCTCACCTAATCATCATAATAATAATGATAAAATCATTTCTTTATAATTAAAAAGAAAATAACTATAACAATATTTACTCACCTAAACCAATAGAATCATGAGTCACGATATAAAGTACACGGAAGGAGGAAAGAGCAGATAATCTTACAGAACCCAAACCATAACTAATGAAATTCAAAAATGTCCCGCCAAATGGAATTATACCGCCATATGCAGTCAAACCATTCATAGCACCACTCATAGCATGCTCACGAACTCCGTATCTAATATATCGACCTGCATAATAATAATACATAAATAAAAATTAACAAATTAGCATTAACTATTATTATTGTCAATATTTTTTTTCCATCTTCATCTTACATATCAGGTAGCAAAACAAATCCAATTTGATAATTCGGATCTTCCATCAAAATTTGTTCAGCCTCACTCTCTTTTTGACAAAATATATTTAAGGAAATGCATATCAGAAAAAGAATGATTAATTATAGCATTTATGTATATGAGAATGTGAGAATTAATTGCCATATCATCCTGTAGACAAAAAGTTTAATGCAATTTTTTGTGCAAATGACAATTGGTTTGCATGTAGATCATTCCCAAATTGAAACACTTACATTCAAATCATAAGAATGCAGATCTTTCACTGAAGCCATTATGATCTAGAGGTTGGAATCGACTAAAATAGTCGACTAACTTTTTTTTTAAACAACTAATAGTCAACTACTTTAGTTGTTTATTTAGTCAACTAATACTAATTATTATTATTGTCTGGCCAATTATAAATGAAAATGTTTGTGGTACAAAAAAATTTAAAAATAAAGTAATGGAAAATAATAAAAATAAATATGCAGAGTATCAATATTATGAAGAAGATGATAATGGTGGTGTTGGTGCTGGTGTTGGCAATAATTATCCATGTGAAATAATAAACATTGATACAAGGTCAAATCATTCCAACAATTCATTGGCTTCGAGCTCAAGCAGTGGTTCCAGACCTTTAAAAAAATGAATTATAACATATAGCTTTGTATGGAAGTATTTTGAGAAAATTAAAGATTCAAATGGAGATGAATTTGTAATCTGCAAATTAAAAAAAAACTTTAATAATAATGAAACAGAATGAATATTCTAATTAAATAGGATGTTATTCCCGTGGCTAGTGTGTGACCATTTTGCAAAGCAAATGGTTTCACGCTAGTATTAAAAAAATTTAGTCAACTAAAAAAATTTTGACCAACTAGTAGTCTACTAAGGATTTTTTGGACGATTCCAGCCTCTATTATGATAATGTTATTTACGGGATTGTGTGACCTAAGATTTTCTGTTATCCCCCACCCCCTAAAATATTAGCTAATATATGTCAGCGCCCTTATCTACTGAACTTTTAGCTGGTAATGAACCATTTGAATGGGTCTTTGAACTTCCCAAGGGTTGGGCACTGAAAAGCAACCAAAAATATGGACAAAAAGGTGGTGATAATCATATGCCTGTGCAAATTACAAGTTCATTGGAAGATTTCTTTTTAGCTGGAGAAACAAATAGAACAAGAAGATACACTGCTGAAACTATGTTGGAAGAGTTGAATGTTATGACTGACTTTTTTCTTGGAATTATTAGCCATCGTATTCTTAGTTACAGTCAGGATTACCAAATATGGAATTTCCAAAATATTGTAAAGATAGACAATCTAGAAAAACAAAACAAAAATGATTGGCTAATTTTATGCAGATTTTTTCTTTGAAAAAAAAAAATGATAAATAAAATAAATTAAAAATAATGCTTTTTTATGAAGAAAACGTGGCAAAGGCTTTATTAAATGGTCATATAACC